GAATTTTATAACTTGACATTGGTCCCTCCACGTTGAGAAATCATTATACTCAAGGGGGAGCTAGAGCAATGCCAGAGGATGAAGTCAGCACCAGAGAATGAGAGGGAAAAGAGGACAGATGGATGTCAGAGAATGCTCCCATTAAGGTAATTAAAAGAACTAGTGAGGAAGTATGGGAAGGACATAGGAGGAAAGCCAAGGGAAAAAAATATTTCAAGATAGTGGTTAAGAATATCAAAGGCTCCAGAGAAATTAAAAGGGATGTAGACTTGGCAAAGGTCACTGGATTAAATAACATCACTGGTGATTCCCAAGAGGCCCATGTTAATAGAATGATGAGCTCAGAAGTGTTGTGAGACAACGGCTTTAAGCAGTGAGTGGAAAAGTTATTGAGGATATTTTAGCATGAAGTGTGGTGACATTTGGTAAGAACAGAGAATTAGAAAGGGAAGCCAGACTACAGCAGGGCTTTTAGATGGAAGGGTGTTGCTGGCAAAAGGGACAGGCCGAGAGAATGTAATCCCATTTCAGTATATTCAGCAAGTACTTTGGCTGGAAAGAAAAACGGAGAGGTGAATTGTCTGGAAGTGAAAAAGCAGAGAAGCTGGCAAGAGATGAGGGTAAATTGAGAAGTAAAATAGAGCCATCAGCATTGGAGAGCTGGGCCAGTGCTGCTTTCCCTTGCAATGCTCCTTACATCAGCCAGGAGCTGCAGGAGTTTGACCCATGGGGGCCATCCAGGTTTTGGCTGCATCTCCCACTCCTGGACTGCCTTGACTCTTCCTCACCCCCATTCTCAGACTCCTCCATCTTATTTTCTTTTTTTGAGATAGGTCTCACTCTGTCATCTAGGCTAGAGTGCAGTGACATGAGCTCAGCTCACTGCAGCCTCAACTTTCCAGGCACAAGTAATCCTATCACCTCAGCCTCCTGGGTAGCTCAGAGTACAGGGGCGCACCATCATGCCTGGCTAATTGTGTGAGTGTATGTGTGTTTGTTTGTAGAAATGGGGCTCAAGCCATCTGTCCATCTTGGCCTCCCCAAATGCTAGGGTTATAGGTGTGAGCCACCGCACCCCACCAGACTCCTCTATCTTTTAACCTCTCTGTCTGACTAATCTCCAGGTAGGTGAGGAGCTAGGAGGCCTGGCTGAATGGGGCCCATCCTATCCTTAAAGGGCAGACTCTGCCCCCTCCCTGCTCCCACAGTAACACATGCCACAGCTTCTTTCCCTTACCCAAGCAATTTACAGAATGCTGTTTGCCAAAGTCATACCTGGCAGGGGAATGTAGGGGCAAAGGAAGGAGAAGCAAAGGAAAAGAAACAGAGAGAAATTTAGAGTTTCCAGGATCCTCTGAGAAGGTTCAATTTCTGCAGTACTAAAAGAAAAAAAGAAAACCTCATTCAGATTGCAAAATTGGTAATGCAGTACAGAAAATCCTGCTTAGTTCAGGCATCACTACGGTACTCATCAGAGGATTGAATGGCTTCAAATCTCTGGCTAAACAAAATAACAGGAAAATAAACAGTCTTCTACTTTAACGCAGTCTACTTCCTATGAACAGCTGAGAAAATTGAACTGCAAAAGGCTAGATGGCTTCTTAGAGCCACAGAGCATTTGGCAGGGGAGCCAGACTGTCTCCATCTTCCTGACTGTTCAGCGTTCAGATGCCTCTCTGGTCCACTGGTTTCCTTTGCTCACAGATCAGAAAAAAACTCATGGCTCATCAAAGGCTTTTACTTCCGACTGCACCGTCCTACCTCTCTGGGGACCCAAGCCGGGCCTCATCAGCCAGTCTGTCGGCAGCTCCCTATTGTCCTTTCTCAAGGGTATCGGTTTCTAATCTCCCACAGGAACCTCTTACTCTCAATCCAAACACTCAGGAAAATTTTAGCGGCTCAGCAAGTGAAGAGAGATGGAAGCAGAGAGTTTAAACCCTGAAGGGCACATTCATTTGGATAAATAAGAACCTGGGAGTCTCTGACTTTTGAATTGGCCAAGGGGAAATAAGAAGGCGACTAGGGCAGACCGGTTTCTATCCTTCACTCCTTTTTCATTGTGCCTCCAAATATTCCTTTGATTTTGTTCTGGTGGAGTGTTTGTTTTCAGGACTTTTTTTCTTTCTTTCTTATGTGTGTCCTTTCCTTTTAGATTTTATAGGTACATGTAATATTTATGTGTCAGTGACCTTCCAAAGCAGTTTTAGAGATTTTCTGTTTACATTTAGGAATTTTCTTTAAGGTCTACAAAGTCCTTTGTGCTTTTTCCAGGAAAGGCACTCAGTAAGAACCAAAACAAACAACCGAATAACTCAAATTTGATCGGAGCCAAATCCCTTAGAAGGGTAAGACAAAAAAAAAGTTAGCATTTGCTTTTGTTATTTCCTTTTCCCTCCCCAATCCATTCAAATATTTAAGCCATTTCTACTTCCAGTCTGGTTCAGAAGTGTTTGTGAATGGTTTAAGCCTCAACTCTAAGCCTCATATTGGACAAATCTTGACACTGGGAGATTTAGCAAGGCACACCTCAGAAATGATCCAGAAACTATGAAAACACTGTTTACTTCCCCCAGTCTCTGGGAAAACTCATGCCAGTATATATTTTACATTTGTCTCTTTGACCCTGAAGGATGGGGAACTATTATTGCTGTAGCCAAATTGTATCTGTCCCTCACAGGGCTAGGGCTACAACGTTCAGTGACTGCCATGCAGGCCCCTGACAGACGTGTCAGAAGCCGGGAGAATGCCTGTGGTTACTTTGCAGCACAATCTGACCAAATGGGATCACATTCAGTTGCTTGCCTAACCTTCCTGCCTCCTTCCCTACATGATCTGTTCTGTGAAAAAGTTACCATGGATTCTATAAGAGCAAGGGTTCGTTCTATTTAGAAAATGTGAAAAATCCTGCATTCACATTTTATTGCTTCTGTCTAATAAAGTAGCTTTTGGACCTTGGGCAAGTTACTTAGTCTGTTTGTGGCTCAATTACTCTGGTTGTACAATAGTAATAATAATACCTACCTTATATAATTGCTGTGTGATAATGGATGGAAAAGTTTCTGGTATTGTTCTTTACAGTTTATATTAATTGATATTAGCTTTTTTTTCCTATTTATGCCACAAAGCTCTCTGGGATCTCTGTTGGATATCATGTGACACAAAACAAACCTCCACTTAAAATGGAATTATATTGCAGATGAAGACTAACCCACAAAATTGATAATTTCTAAAAATAGAAATGATTCTTCCATGGTTCCTGCCCTGGCAATGAGGAGCACACCTTTCCTGGATGGTGGCTACTGCACCAAATTGCCATCTGCTGTAACCAAACTGAATGGGTCTTTCCCCCATCCAGAGTTCTGGTGTTTCTAAGACTTCTCAACACTTACCAACAGAAATGAAAGGGAAAGAGTCTCATGGAACAATGACTCTTGTACTAGAAGCGTGAAGCCACGAGATAGGTAAAAGTATCTGCCAGATCAACTAGCGGAATGTGCAACAATATTAACTTCCCCCCACTTGCTTTCCCTACTTTTTTAGTAACACTAAGTAGTAAGGATTAAATGTGATATTATATAAAATGCTGCAATGTATGTAAATCAGTTAGCTGGAAGCTGGGATGTCAAAAGAATAGAATCTCCACCTCTGCCCATCCTCCAGGCTACTGTGCGAACTCTATGGTCTTCAGGATCTGCAGGGGTTTCTTTATATGATAAAAATTCACACTCAGCAAGAGAACAGTGGTTTTGCTGAATATAGAATATAGAAACTGAATTTTTAGCATATAAGGAATTCTAAATCCTATTAATAAATATAACTTCATAATAACAAAAATCTTTTCAAGACTTTTTAAATAAAAAGATCTAAATAGTAAAGCAAAAAAAAACAAATAACAACGAAAAATCCAAAAAAAACACAATGAGGGCTCTGTGTCAGCCCAATTATGCTATTCCACATATTAGATAAGAGGATTAGTTAATTTGAGTGTGAAAACTGGTTATTTTTCCTCAAAGTTTATTAAAAGTAATGCATTTCCTCTTTATGAGGGTTAAAAGAATAATACACTTACTAATCCACAGGGAAGATAAATATTTGTTGAATGAATGTTCTTTTGGAGTTGGAATAATTAGAAAAAAATCCAGGCTTTTAGATACAAGAATCCTAAATTATTTAAATGAAATCTTTTTGCTGAGAGGTCTGGGATTGCGGTGCTGGCCTTCCTGAAAGAATCTGTTGTATTTTAGTTTCAAGATGTAGTACAGGGGTTCCATTTAAGGTAAGGGCTAGTGACCCTAGGTTCCTTGCCAGGACCTCGAGCAACTCAAACGTTTAAAGGTGTAGACAAAAAGCACAAGAGAAGGGGTTGATTTAGCTCAAAGTGAGGAAGGCCAAGGTGGGTTATCATAAAATAGCATTCAAAGACTATTAGAAAGGCAACACTTCTCTCAAAATACACTTAAACCAAAGAAAAAGACATGAAAGTTAGGCCTAAAAAGGATTTTTAAAAATTGCGGTAAAAAACACAATAAAATGTACTATCTTAATCATTTTTCAGTATATAGTACAGTGGTTTTAACTATATGTAAATTATGCAATAAAAAGAATTTCTTGACAGTGAAGTTTGTGAACAATGATGGATCTTCTCTCTTGCAATTTGGATGGAAAAGTATGAAATTTCCTCTTTGAAATTTTAAACAATTGCTCACATTCTGAGTCCTGACAGGCTGGCCAGGATGATTTCTTAGGGATCACTTCTAGCCCAGCCACTCTATGTCAAGGCAGTGATACGGCTGGCCCAACACTGAAGCAGACATGCTGATGAAAGCGTCTTGGGAAAAGTTAGAAGTAGGTAGTTCATCTTTGCATTTGCTTAAAATGAACCTTAGCACTTATAAAACTCTAATTCCATATAATTTGATTTGTAAGCTTGGGAGGATTATAACATGTTGCTTTAACTTGAAGCCCATGGAACAAATGCAGCTCTGTACTGCTAGCATTACCTTGGGTTTATATGCATTCAGCATTGACATCTCTACATTTTGACCTCTGACGTGTTTTGGTTGCCTCTGGACCGGTGGTGACGATGACTTCTGGTTATTGCGACAGACACAAATGAAGAAGAAGAGTAAAGCAATGGCCAGGGGAATGGCAACACTCGGCACTAGTATGTACAGGATTTCCATTTTATTCTTCTCCTTGGAATCTTTTGAATCTGGGCACAGAAATGAAAAAGAACAAAAGTTATACTCTTTAAAGTAATATATATAATATTACATTGCATAGTTTAAAATTACCCACCTCTTCTATTCTTCTGTACACACAAATCTACTGTGAGAAAAAAAGGAATCCATTGCTTATTACCATTTGTTTCCATCAAACCTTCAGCATAATTTATTGAAGTTTAAAAGTTTAAAGTTCAAATGTTTAAAAACTGCAGAGAGGCATTATGAAGACTTTGTATGTGTATGGGTCCCCCTCTGATGTTCCCTCTCTTTTGTGGCAGACCCGCATTTCTCTAACACCTTAAAAGTTAAACGCCATGTGAATGGACTGTATACATCCAACAGCCTTAATGTGGACCACAGGGCTCTACTTCCATTGGCTGCCAGCCCAGATCAGCCCCTACAACATGGTGTTCCAGAAATCATGCCCCGGTCTTGGCTGGTTTGGACTTCTGAGGCCAATCCTGCATCTTCCAGAATCAACATCACTAAAGAATCCTGGTCCCAGTGTCCAAAAAGCCACTGGCCTGAGAATATGGGGGCCTGAAGTCTGGGTTAATTTGAACTTTGATCAGTTGTGTGACCCTGAACAAAACATTCATGTCTCTGGGCCTCCTTTTTCACCTCTGCAAAAGTGAAGTGGCTGTTTTGGATGGTGTCTTTCCAGCATGGCAGCACAATATAACCTGACACTTTATTCTGACACAGAATTCTTGGGGCTGGGCGCGGTGGCTCAAGCCTGTAATGCCAGCACTTTGGGAGGCTGAGACGGGTGGATCATGAGGTCAAGAGATTGAGATGATCCTGGTCAACATGGTGAAACCCCGTCTCTACTAAAAATACAAAAAATTACCTGGGCATGGTGGCGCGTGCCTGTAATCCCAGCTACTCAGGAGGGTGAGGCAGGAGAATTTCCTGAACCCAGGAGGCGGAGGTTGCGGTGAGCCGAGATCACGCCATTGCACTCCAGCCTGGGTAACAAGAGTGAAACTCCGTCTCAAAAGAAAAAAAGAAAACCCCAGAATTCTTAAAGGGTTTCATATGAACCCAATAATTATGAGTGCTAACACTTTGAAGTATAATTTTGAAATCTTCTATATCCACTTTACCATTGCTTGGAAAAGAATACAATATGTGTAGGAGAACATGAGACATACTTTTCTTTTTATCAGTTTGAGTCTGACCATTAAAACCAAATACTTAGGCATATATTGTCATTAATGAATTATTTGACCGGTAAAACAAACACAGAATTATGGGATAGTAATTAGAGGGGTTACAGAATGACATGCCTTGATAACCAAGATCAGCTATCTTTAAGAAAACCCAAAGTGTGAAAACTCAGATTGACACAAAATTCAGAGCTGATTATTTACTTTACAAAAGAATTAACCCCGCATCCATTCAACTGTCCTTCCACTCATTCTGTAAGTCGATAAACAAAAGCTACTGCATGCCAGGCCCTATTGTACATACTGGGAATATAAAATTCAGTATGACATGTCCTCTGCCCTTAAGGAGCTCATCATCTGGTAAGGAAAATAGAAAGATAATGACATTTCCTTGTAAATGCGAAAATGGAAGTATAAAGAGAGTGATGAAAAGGCCCCCCAAATTTCTTTAATTGATGAGTTACCCTAGTACATGTAAATAAGAATAAACCATATGTAGCTTTTACTTGTATATACCTTGTTTGGAAACTGTTTGGCAGGTGAGATATGGCATGTTAGTTATTTGAAAGGAATACCAAAAGCTGGTGTTGGGACTATGCCCTGTGAGTGAGCCCTCAGAAGAGTCTGGAGAGGGGTTAAATCTGGTTGCAGAGTAGAATAAAAATAGTAACAATTTTAGGCCGGGTGCAGTGGCTCATGCCTGTAATCCCAGCACTTTGGGAGGCCGAGGCAAGCAGATTACCTGAGCCTAGGAGAATCTGAGACCAGCCTGGGCAACATGGCAAAACTATCTCCACAAAAAATTAAAAAATTAGCCAGGGATGGTGGTGCATGTCTGTAGTTCTGGCTACTTGAGAGGCTGAGGCAGAAGGATCATCTGAGCCCAGAAGGTTGAGGCTGCAGTGAGCTGTGATTGTGCCACTGCACTCCAGCCTGGGCGACAGAGTGTGGGGCCCTGTCTCAAAAAACAAAACCAAATCCAATTTTAATATTTATCAAATATTTTCTACTAGTGCAAAATCATGTTAGCTATTATTACTATGGACCAGGTGTTTTTCATAAACTCATTTTATGTCACAGCCAACTCTATAAGGTACATGACATCCTTATCCTCATTTTTATAGGTGAAGATGCTGGAAGATGGAGTGGTTAAGTAAGTTGCCCAAGGACATGGAGCTAGTAAGTCAAAGGCTGGGATCCCATCATTGATCTTGCTTTTTGCCCACCATTCTAGCTGCTACACTTCACTGCCAATAATTGGAGAATTTTGTCCCTATTTTCTCAGAGTAGGGTTCCTCTTGTTTCATGGAGGTAGGAAGTATGAGACTGATCTGAAAGGAAGGGAGTAACACTGAAGCTTTGCTATACATGATGCTTTTGAAATCCCTGCTTTATATACTGTTACCAGTAAATATATAATCCAGGCATCACTGGAGGCCATTCTAGTCAGTATTAGGTGCATCAGTAATGACTGTGTCTACATGCCTGTGGATAGACAGGAATTCACCTGAGTAGAAGACTGTCTGCCACAGGGCATGCAGGCAGAAAACTCTGAATAAAGATAAATGTCTTTGTCATTATATAGGTGACCTTCAGTGGGCACTTGGCCACTCTGAGCAAACTCATCTGTAAAATGGGAATAATACCTACTTCACAGAATTGCCGTAAGCAATAAATCTATTCTAGTACCAGTTACCTACCACTCAAGGATTACCCTTTACCCTTAGATTAGAGGGGAATTCACAGATAAAAGTTTTAGGCTGGAAGTTTTGGGCTACATAATCTTAAGCAAGAAACAATCTCTCTGATCTCTCTTTCCTCATTTATTCAATGGAATAAGTAAGAGTGGTAGAGCAGAAATAATAGTACCTGCTCTACTGATCTTATTTGGTTTACGTGAGAATCAAATGAGATAATGTTCACGAAGGAAACTTGGATAATTGAAAATTACCATACAGTTGTTGGATGTTATGGTTGTTATTAACATTATAAACCATTTTCAAATTTCTCAGTACCCTAAGGGGGTAAAGTCTCTCTTGTTATTCTTGGATTTTCGGTGAAATCATTTTGAAGGTAATGATTACAAAAGCAATGAGGCTAATTTAGTACTAAAGTAACGCTAGTCATTTTTCCAGGCCAGATTTTTAGCAACAAGAGAAAGTAGGGTCTCACCTGTCTGGCAAACAAAGGAGTCTATTCTGTATTCATTCCCTATCAGATTATTCACGGAAGTCTTTGATTGTAAACGGGGGTCTGCCACAAATCCCCCTGTAGGTCTGCAGGAGAACAAACTTCAAGAAGCTAAATCCTTTAAACAGTCAAGCTTGGCTCCTTCTGATTACACTAAGGATATGCTAACAGGCAAAAGGGGCCCAGTGTCTTTTTGCCAAGTGAAATAATCAAGGAGAACAATATGTGATCATGTTGGAAGTGACAGAAACACATTAAGGCCTATTGTAGTCTTCCATACAAAGTGCTTCCTTCCCTACAGGACTCTGAATTTGGCCAGAAGGGGATTTAGTCTCTGCTGGCTCTGAAAACCTTATATAAAAATATTCTATAGAACAAGAAGCTTTCCAAACGAAAAATTAGAAAACTAATATCTGCCTAGCTCCTTTTTGATGTCCTAGCATTTGAATTTCTCATTTTAACCCGGCAGGCACTTTGGTGTTATCTTGATTTACACATAGAGAAATTGAGAAAGGAAAAATAACCTGTCAAAGCTACAAAGTAGCAGAATCTGGGTTGGAATGCAAGCCTGTCTACCTTCAGTGCTTCTAGTAAATTATATTACTGATCAAAATTACCCTAAAACATTGTATGTAATTGTTTTTCATCATTCTCCTTAAGAGTCCAAAGTTCTCTTTCAATGAAGACTAATATCTAATGGGGGATCATACTATTTTTAAGAAATCTCTTTGGAACAATGGACATTATTCTTACTAGTCATTTCAAAGGGTAATGGACACCTCCAATGCATTGCAGAGAAAATTGGCTGAAAATTAGAATGTTGAAGATTTTTAGTACTTTGGAATAACTGTTTAAAAGTTAAATGCACATATTAGTTACATCAAGTTAAATACTTTGGATTTTTGAAACCAACAACTTAGTCCAGATCACATGATTAATTTCCTTTCAAAAATCAACAATTTGGTATCACAGTTCACATCTGACATTCCAGTTTTATTTTTACAATGATATTTAATACTTTGATTAGTAATTAAATATAATGGAGAAAATACTCCTTTCTTATCCTGAAGCTTAAAGCAAAGTAATCATGATTCCTCATTAAAGAGGTACTTTTAATAAAGTGAAACAAGAAACGTCTCCGGTTTTAAATATGGCAAAGGGGGGAAGAAATCTTACAGAACTTTAGAATTCAAGGGAAATTAAACAAGTTTAAATTATAATCTTGACTGAAGAAGTTTTAAAAACCACAGAAAACAAACAAGAATCACTACCATTTATTATTTGAAAACTATAAAATAAGCAGGTTGGTAGCAGATAGGGTCCTGCACCAGTGATTTAGGCAAATGCCTGAAAGCCGAGAGAGAGAGGGGTAAGCAATTAGGCCTTCAGTCGGCAGGCTGGGCCCAGGCATTCACTCTCTTGACTTGATGATGGAAATACTAAGTAGATAATCTATTGCCTTACGTATTCTCAAATGAATTCTTAAAAAAAAAAAAATGCCAAATAGGCCATAAATATTGATTGAAATTTTTCTCTGCAGAAAAGGTTTTAAGTACAATGAGTTAGGGGCAGTAACTCATTTGTGAGCATTTGGGAAAAATCTTAGTAACTAGAATCCACACAATTTC